GATTGGGTCTGTGTGCCACTTGTTTACACTCAGGTATGCGTGTCTTTGTCCCCAATATTCATACATTCTACATATGGTTACAAGTTTGCAATAGTGCCAGACAAAAAAACAACTATACAAGCTTTTCTGTAACTTTTAATCTTGATAATGAGAGGTCATCAGAGCAAATAGAAATTAAAATGCTAGGCGTTTTCCATATTTTCCGCCTCAATCTACGGTACATTCCAAGATCGTTGTTTGAAGAATGAAATTCGTTAATTCTACTTCTCCTCAATTGCCTCTCTTTTTTGGTTTTTGGGCAAATGGATTGGAAGACTTCAAGACCAAAAGGAAAATTGCGCTTGAATGTTCATTCCCTACTAGCTGTTTGCTGATAATTTACCATGGACACACAAACTTTCCTTGTATTTCTTACACTCTACTGATAATTGATGATGCAATTCAATTTTTTCTTCAATATTGAACAGAACAATTCAGCCAAATCACTAGTTTCACTCAGGCGACTGCATCGATTTTATAATTTAATTTGATCAATGTCTGACACCATTTTTTTTAATATCATAAATTGGAAGATTCGTAAACAGCAGCGATGTCAAAAAAGAAAAAGTTGAAGGGGAAAATGGTTCAAATTATATAAGCAAATGGAAAAGATCAGTAGTCGGTAGCATATGGCTACTAACAGAAGATAGGAATGAATTTTGGAAATCATTTTTAAACTCAAAAATGCAATAATTTCGTCAGTTTTATTTATGTAATGAACAATCTGGTCTCATATTTGGAAAAAAGGGCATTAAAAGATAAATAATAACAGAATTTATTCATGAAATCATTCACTGACCCTAAGCGAAAAAAGATGTTGTGGGAAATTGAAATAGATACCACGTTAAGCGAAAATTGCAACAAGTGGGAATTAAATTTTATTTGTCCTTAGCTCCGATGAAAATAACTAAGAGAAAAATCTTAAAAAAAGAACTTGTAGGTGGCGGCATTGGCAACCTATGCATTTTTCTTTTTCGCCTTATTTGGACGTCAAAATCTCATCCCAGAGATGCAAGCTGGGAAGGAAATCGATCTCATGATACCTGTTTTCACAATTGTGCAGTTCATGTTCTTTGTTGGATGGTTTAAGGTATGAACTTATTATGTTTAGACATTGTAAATATTAAGTACCTTGAAGGTGGGACAAGATTTGATGCGTCCTTTTGGCTTGGACGATGACGACATTGAACTGAACTATATTTTGGATCGAAATATCGCTACATCATTTTCGATCGTCAATCGTTTGCAAACAATGGATTGTCGTGAGTTTTCAGGGTCGGAAATTAACTTTAAAAAATCTAGAACTTCGTTGTTTGATAATACCTTCCAGAATAACTGGAACCTTCGCACTTCCTGAAAATTTCAGGTTTTTGTCAGAAAAAATACAGCGAGTACTTAGAAGTTACAAACTTGTTACAAAGCTCTTCTGTACTCGATCGATAGATCTTTTTGTAGCAGAACTTGAAGACGACGCATTTTGGAAGCGTAAAGAGGAACGGATAGATCCACTGCCGCATACCATATATAGCCGACAACTAACTGAACATCGACCAAAACTGCATTCATATGTCAGAATTGGAGCGGAAGATACAAATTCCTTAGCCTCATGTATGGGAATGGACAAGGAGAAGAAGTACGTTCTCGTTTACTTGTTTTTGCCACTTTTCATTCAATAATGCACAAACAACGAAATTAATAGAATGTATTATTTCAGGCACATCAACTGGTGACTACCTATCTAACTCAACAACGGAACAAGCTTAATTGCGAATCCAGATCCGCTCGCTTTACAGAAACACCGAATTCTCACTTGATAATCACAAATACGTGTCACATCTCGGTTGTGCTATTACGACTTTAGTCAGGGAACTGACAATCTTTTGCCAACCGTATTTAAAATGTATAACGATAAGCCAATGAAAATTATGCGTGACTATACATATGATACATTGTAAACATGAAAGAACATTATAATTCCCATTCAAGATAACATTTAGCAAGCGTAAAAACAAAAGCTAGATTTGCCAAAACAAGGTAGTTTTACAATTACGCAAAAAAAGTATTTACCTTCTGGCAAATCTTTTCG